TGCTCCAACCCTGTGGAATCAGCTACCCCCAGAGATCCGGACCTTACTCGCTCTCATGGCCTTCAGGAAAGCCGTTAAAACTTGGCTGTTCCGACAGGCCTGGGGTTGTTGACCTTAGTGTTAAGGTCCAGCCCCGATTAGAATGTATGTGTGTTGTGAATTTTTAAACTATTTTTTTTACTTATTTTGCTTTTCTTTTTCTTCTTTCGTTGTAAGCTGCCCAGAGTCCTCCGGGATTGGGCAGCCTATAAATTTAATAAACGAAATGAAGTGAAATTGGGCCGTAAATTACATGGGGTTAAAGCTGGCTTCACCCTGGGGGAAGGGGGGCAGGAAACAGGGTCATAATTGGGCCGTACATTATGTGGGGGTCAGAGCTGGCTTCTTTTGAAGCTTGGCTCGAGGCTCATGATTTAATTAGGGCATCCGTCAGAACCTTGATAAAGGTTACTTCTAAAAGCAAACTTGAGTTACGTAGAGTGAGAGTACTCATATAGTAATTCTGAGTACAGCACCTAATAAAATGGAGATGGTTTCCCACCAGAGGTGATATTTACCAGGTTCGGATAAGTTCTGGAGAACCAGTAGCGGAAATTTTGAGTAGTTCAGAGAACCGGCAAATACCACCTGTGGCTGGCCCCGCCCCAAATCTATTCTCTGCCTCCCGAGTCCCAGCTGATTAGGAGGGAATGGGGACTTTGCAGTAACTTCCCCTGGAGTGGGGTGGGAATGGGGATTTTATAGTATCCTTCCCCTGACACGCTCACCAAACCTCACCGTGCCCACCGAACCGGTAGTAAAAACTTTCGAATCCCACCACTGTTTCCCACTCTGACTTAGAAGAAAGACAAGTAATATGAATACTGCAGCCATAAATTTCTGATATTTTGCTTGGAGCTGAGGACAAAGCACACGAAGGCAATTAGGTTAAATAATCTTTATTTTGGGAGTTGCGTCAAGTGGTTTTACAAATAGATTTTAAATTATTTGCAGTTTAGAAAGAGGAAACCAAATCAACAACCGACCAATTGACGACAAAATCCATCCCTCAGCCCTATTTCGTACTCTCCGACCACACTGTTAACAAGAGCTAAAAAATAAAATTCAATTTATATGATCTCTTAATATAATCTCTGACTTTTTTTTTAAATCTGATTGGGAAAAAAAATGGGATTAATTATAATACATTAATTAGGCAAGGGGGAAGGTCAAGCAGACAGGTTTAAGGAGGAGTTTAATCTTCCCCTTTAACTCCCAGCAGACTTTTAAAGTTTTTCTAATTTTATTTTTAAAGCATCGATTTATTTAAAAAAATATATTGCGTGGAAGTGCAAAATAGACAAGCAATAAACATCCAGAAAGATTTATTTATTTTTTGAGGCCGGGGGGGGGGGGGGGAAGAAATCCATCTTTGGTGATGATGAACTAAGGAGAAAGAATCCCACTTGTTTATAACTCGCTGCCTCAACTTCATCCGCCTCCTTTTAGTCAAAACTTTGGAAGCAAAAAATGGGATTTCGGAAAAGAGACACCAGACCCACAAACATCATCGCGACAACGGTTTATCTTAGGGAAAAAACGGAGTACAAAAATGCATTCGGTTTAGAGAAACGCACATAGGAACGCATGCAAACTTGTTGTGCAAACTTATTTTTTTTTTTAAAAAAAAATAATAATGTGAAAATGATGGGGAAAGAAATTTTAGGTGGAGGAGGAGCATTCTAAAATAGAGAAATTTGTCCCTTATTCCTAGCTGTTTTACCACTGTCCCTGGTTTGTTCTGGGGGGTCCCACTGATTTGCCTAACTTGGTTTCTCCTAAAATATGGAACTGACACTGCAGATGGTAGAAAGGAAGGAGGGGAGGGAGAATCATAGAATTGTTGGGCTAGAAGGGGACCTTGGAGGTCTTCTAGTCCAAAACCCCTTGCCCGAGGAAGATCTTATGATGCAGCTAAGTAAATTTGCATTATCCCAGGAGGAAAATTACGAGCAACCTCTGTAGGGCACTTTGGTTGTTCCTAGAAACTCCAGATGAATGGAAGAACCAACTTGACCCATCCAAATTGTTAAGATGAGATCTCTTAAAAGATCCGGAGACTCTTGAAAGAGGGCAGAGAAGAGCAACAAAGAGGATTAGGGGACTGGAGGCTAAAACCTATGAAGAACAGTTGCAGGAACTGGGTATGTCTAGTTGAATGAAAAGAAGGACTTGGGGAGACATGATAGCANCCTCCGACACAGAGCCCTCATCAGAGCCTTCCCCAGACTCCAGGACTGGCCCATCTTCCTCCCCAACCTCCTCACTCTCCGAATCTGCTGCCAGTGGGCCACAACAATTTCAGTCAGAGGATGTCCAGTTTAATGTCTGGAGGCATCCCACATGCAATAGTTAAATATGTATGTCTGAAGGGCCATGATCATAGCAAGGTAGTCAGCTCTCTGGGCAAAAAGGATAATTAGTCTCAAACCAACAATTTCAATTCAGTTGCCATGGTTTGACCTTCAAACACCTTTGCCTGGATGACTTGAGAATGGACATCAACGGATCATAATTAAGTTTATAAATATGCCCCTGATGGTCCCTGTCAGGAAACCTCTGGTGGTCTTAATATTTTGAGGTCCTCCCAATCTACTCGCCATTCTCTTCCCACCTGCCCTTCCCTATGGTAACAATTCAATTGGATGTAGATTAACACGTTAGTACTTACCAGCACCCATTGACTGAGTTAGGAGGTTGCGGGATGCAGCAGGAAACGTATGTAGATGGAAATGCATTCTTTGTGGGTCTGGATCATGGGGACAAGATAAGTCAAGAAGTCTTGCTTCTCCTCTCAACTATCAGCTTGCTCCAAAGTGGGGTTGTCTTCCAAGCATCTCGTCTCTTGTGGTCCTCCTAGATACCTCTTAGAAAAACCAAACATGAGCTTCTTCTTCTTTATCTTCTTCTTCTTCCTTTAGACTCCTGACCTGAACTCTCAAGTTGAATGGAAGGTAACCAGAGAAGATACTCAACCTCAAAACAACTCAGGTCTATGGTGCCCCTTATATACATCACTGTAGACATGAGGTTCTACAGAAGTTCTCCACGCAGCTCAACGCCATCCAATATCACCACCAGCTGGTCTCTTAAACTAAATAAATAAACCCGGTGTCAACACGCAAAGCATCTCTGGCCGGTGGGGGAACCGATGGAGCAGTACGACAGCTACAACTGGAAGCACATTCCATGCATACCTTTCTCAAGGCTGTATCCCAGGTTACCTGCAACAGCCGGAAGGGCGTGATCTCTACAGCCCCCAAAACTGCTCCATTGGATCTATGACACACTCTGGGAGGAGGGGGGGGGGGAAACAGGGTCATCAGTGGACAGTGTCGGCTGGCGGGCCCCCAGAGGAGAGCCTTCTCTGTGGCTGCTCCAACCCTGTGGAATCAGCTCCCCCCAGAGATCC